TAATCTAATACTCACTCTATTCGACACATCACCTACTCACTCCACTACCCACTACTCCACCTCACCTTCTGGCTACTCGCCATCACCTACCTAACATACTCACTTACAATACCACTCGACGTTCTACACCTACGCACTGCCGTGCTCACACCACTAGTACTACTTACCAACTACACACAACCACATGATATCACATATTTCCAACCGTAATCTAATACTTAGTCTATTCGACACCTCACCTACTCACTCCACTACTACCATCCATGATACAACGACTTCTCTGACCAACGCCACAGTGTCATCATTAACGCCTTCAATCCACACCCAAAATTGCGGCAAAACCTCCGGCAAACCCTCCCCCCTCCAAGCTTTCCTATGCGATCTCCTAACACCTTTTAAATGTCCAAAATCCGGTGAAATCAATAAATATCCATCGTACACCGACCATGTTTCCCATCGCAATTTCAATCAATATTGCCCCGTCCCTATGGGTTTCAATCACGAAATGTTAACACAGACCGAACGCACGGGACTTATAATTTCGAGAATCATAGATTACTTCACCAGACACGACATTAACTCCGTCAGTTTATCCAACATAGTCATATGTCTAATATGCACCGGCCTACGTACCCCCCGTACAGTAGGCGATCTATTTGGGTTTTTCTTCTCTATTGGTGAGAATATGAATAAAGGTAGTAGTAGTTCCCCTAGTTCCCCTAAGGTCGCTGATGCCATCGATACCGAATCTAAGAAAATACCATGGAATTATAAAGGTTCCAGCTCCATCACTGACGCTGTTAAAGCCCTAGCTGGTAAAAAACATAACGGTACCTCTCACAACTCCGAGGCCGACCTTCACACCCTCTACGACAGCAAATGCACAACTCCCCAAACTTGTGGCAAGTACCTCCAATCGCTCTCCTATAGTATCTATTCCATCATCTCACCATTTTTCGCTATGTCCTATCTATCACGTATTGTGTACCTCACGGATGTCCTCAAAGATGGTCTCAAAAACCTGTTTGATGAATTCAAAAAAATCGACTGTACTCACTGTACCGGGAAAATGAAATGTAAGCACAATACAGGTGAACATTCCAAGGAATGTAAATGTCCATCCATCGTCCAATGCCACAATGTCCTACCCCTTTTCTTCAAATACGGTTTTGTTTTCTACAGCGCGAGATCATTGAATGGAAAATACAAATCCAAAAACGACTGGCTCCGCCAATGCTCCCAATTCGCCAAGCAACTCAAAAATGTCATCGACGGTCAACCATTCTGTGACCTCCTCTCATTCATCAACAAATTCCTCCTTTGCATCCGCAAACCCTTCCTCCTATACCTCCTCACATTCTGGCTTGTAGCCATTCTGTACTTCAGCTACGGTCTAACAATACCTCTGGACCTCTTCCATATCCGCTCATATTGGAGAGGTGCTTTGTCACATCAAATATCGGTGTTGGCGTTATTATCGAAGAAGGGACTGTCACCAACAAAGGTTGGGTATTTCACACCGTAAGATGTCATCACATATCAATCTAATGTTATCAAATCTATGTTCGTGTGTATTTAGCAGATTGATGGTTTCACAAAAATTTCATGTTCTACACCCCTTCCGCATGCACGGCACAGATATTCAGATAAAGTGTGTGGCTACCTACCCCATCGAAGATGTGTGGAGAAACACACTACATGGTAGACATCGTAGTGAAGATGAAGACATACAAATAGAACCGTAGGTGAAGTCTGTTGTTGTGTTAAGGCGGAAGACGCCGAGGTTGGATACAATCTATTATGACACTATCGCTACTGGCACTCTAAACAGAACGAGTGTGACATCGACAAGTGATTGACCTGATGTATTTAATTAGTCACGGCACTACCTATGGGTAGTACATCACACGATAGTTAATGATGACAAGAGGTGATCATATTACTACTACCTACACTCAGTCATCAACGAATTCCTCACCTTCTGGCTACTCGCCCTCACCTACCTAACATACTCTCTGACAATACCACACGACGTTCTACACCTACTTTCACACCTACTCACTGCCGTGCTCACACCACTAGTACTACATAACAACTACACACAACCACATGATATCACCTACTTCCAACCGTAATCTAATACACACTCTATTCGACACCTCACCTACTCATTCCACTACCCACTACTCCACCTCACCTTCTGGCTACTCGCC